ACATTTTTTTTTTTTTTTGTTCATTCATTCATTCATTCCGGGTCGATTTTTTTCTTGATCATCTAAAACAAGTGTCGTAAATATGATATAGTAAGCTATAGTAATTATAATGGTATTTAACATTAAAAAAGTGATAGGAAAGAGTGATAGTATTGTTAAATTAATAAATGAAATAAAGATGATTATAAGAGTGGTTAATGAGAATAATTGACTATCAATTCTAATAATGATAAAATGGAGCGACACTCGCAGCAGAAATAACATTAATGTGTAGCTAACAAGGTGGGAACTAATCATGATAAAAATGATGAAATTTTTTTTCAACAAATAATTTAACATATCAATAGCTTTTTAATACGGACGCAAAAGAAAGGAAAGTTAAGAATCGATATTTTTTTTATCTCGATTCGTCTGAAATAGCCAATTAGGAAGAAATTTATTTTGAATTAACTATAACTTGTATTAAAGGAACAAAATGCAATATCTCGCTATGACTCGTTTCTTGTGACATGTTTCGTAACTTGAAAAAAGAAGGAAAATGGATTCCTCTCGTCTGTTTTTTTCACGGAACGAATACGAAGTTACGTCACGCGTTGTGTACCGGCCGTTGCGGTTGAAACTCATTGTATCTAAATAGGTCTCTCAAACGATACGTTGAATAACAAATATTCCATTGATTCACCTGACACGCGCTCGTCACCACGTGTACCGTGTCACCTTCTGTCGTCTTCGTCTCCAGAGGAAACTCGCGATTTCACTTCTACGACACCGCCGCGACGGGGGCGGGGGGGGGGAGGGGGAACGCGACGATCGCGCGAAGCCAAGTGATTTCGGAGTCTGTCGCGATCTCTCTCTCTCTCTCTTTCTTTCTTTCTCTTTTTTTTATCTCTCTTCTCGAGTTTCTCGAGAGAAAACGCTTCTTATGCCGGAGACGAATTTACGATACAAACGCGCGCAGGTTGTTGCGCGCGGCGCGACGCGACGCGTACGTCGACGTGAAGGAAACGTGCCCGCGCCGTGCAGCGGTGCAGCTCGGACTGAAAACGCGACAGGGGGAACGCGACACGGCGGTGTACGCGACGCTTTACGAGCTTACGATTTCATGCGCAGGCGAAGTACGCGCGGCTTTACGAGTCTCACGCTTACGCGCGCGCTTTGGGCGTGCGATACCGATGGCAATGGAGAATCGGGACGTTTGCGATACCCAGGCAACGATCGCGACAGCGATCCTCACGCCTTCGGCGATCTCTTTTGCTCGTCCCGATCGCCGGAGATCGTCCAGAGGCATTGTCATTTCGTTGTGTCTCGAGGTGACACGGTGAAGGAGGGCCTTTCTCCTCCATTCAGCGAGGTGCAGCGATGCTGCGGCTCGCCTGCTTACAAAATTAATCGCTTACAAAATTAATTAATAAAAAGTGTCGCGCCTCTCTTTCAAGGCGCGAATATTCGGCAAGAAACGCAACGAGGTCGGGCTCTTTCACGCATGGTAGCGTTTGACATCGCCGCAGGTTTCCGGCCGCGTTTTTGCCTATCTAAATATTTGTTCTGTATCGCCAATGTGTCACGGACGCGCCGCTAAGTATTTTCTTCTCGCGCACGCCCTGTTACGTCATCGATTGAGCCGCGCGTAATGACGCTGCATCATAGGTCAGATGCACGATCGAGGAATTCCGTTTCAATTTCCTAGTAGCAAGCCGATTTAATATAAAAATATAAAAAGGAAAAATTTAATACAAAAATAATTCTTTCAATTGTCTAACAATTTGATTATGAATTTTTAATACGGAATATCAAATTTGTTGGCGGTGAATCGAAGCTTAAAGAAGGAGAGCGCGAAATAATAAATAATTCGTTTTGCTCTTACTTACGTAGTTTCTGTTTCAGAACCTTACCTTACCGATCTTCTCGTATCAATACTTTTGCGTTTTTTAACAAAACTTTTGCGTTTTTTTTTTTCTTTCTCCGCCTATATGTAGTTCGCTTATAAGCTATAACTATGACTGATTATATTCGCGCTACTTTCGGAGAGCCGTTGCGCACACGCGCAACACACGGCAAATGCGGCGGGAACCATAAAATCGACAATGAATTTCCGCGAGAGCGAACTTCCCTCGCTGGAAATGCGCTCGCTCGATCCTATTTCATGACGTTTATTTTGACGTTGCGGCGTGGTGCAAGGACACGTTGTAATTCCGCGGGCTGCTTGCCTGGCGTGCGTATCGAAAAGACTCGCTATCACGTTACATATGAACGCGCGCTTATTACACCTAACCTGCAATTACCGCGACGTGGTTATTTTTAACTCGATACTTACTAAACATTTCCGGATTACTAGGCATTTTAACTGCACAGCCGCATTGTAATTGATAGACTTTTAATTCAAAGCCGTGATAAGTGGGATCTCCAAGTCGTATGATTGGGGGCGCACAACGAGATCGAGAAACTATGTAATGTTATTAATGCGTATTACGTTTAATAACATTAAGTTATAATTATTAATTTTCATCGATCAAGTGATTTATAAATAATTGTAATTCTCGTGTATTATTTTATCGTTACATTTTATCAACATTACAATACTTTATATATATATATATATATATATATATATATATATGAACAACTAATTTTTGCAAGAAATATTATTCAATTTCTCAAGGATATTACGTACGTTAATATTATATTAGTATGTTAATAAAGATAAAGTTAAACGAATTAATTTAAAGTTAATAAGAAATTGATTTAAATTGTCATACTGTTAATTTAGAATTAAAATTATATTGTTCACAATTCACAAAATTAGTTTTCTGTCGTTGTTTTGTGCGGTCTGTGAAGGAGGATTATTACAGACAGTAAAAGAAATAAAAGAAATGAACTCCAAACTTGTAGCTTTTTGTAGGCTATACTTTCCTTAACCGAAGCTACCGGAAGCGAATCGGTCGCGATATCGATCCACACGTTGTACGACGAGTTCGCTGCAATCTCTTACTTTCCATATACTCGTGATATTACTGCGTATCTATGTCAACTCGTCCTCAATGAAACATTCACGAAGCTTATGCAGTTGTGATTACTTTTCGTCGGTTATACAAATGCTTAGGTAGTAATTTATTTGCCGACGAGTATGCAAAATATTTTTTTATCATATTGACTTGTTCCATAGGCATAAGAATTGCAACAATATAGCTTACAAGATGGAAACCTCGATGAAGGGAGAGATCTACGGATCTATGTTATTAGATAGTAAAATTATATATTAAAATTCGATTATCTCTTTTTATTTTTTTTTCAACAATAAAAATAATATATGGTGATCTCGTTATCCGATGATAACAAGAAATGGGAATAGTAATGTTATTAAAGATTTACAGAATAACAAACAAGTTCTGATACACAACAAATTAAATTGGAATTCTATATTCTATAGATACATAGTTCTGTATTTTTATACAAAAAGTATGTAAATTTATATAAACAACAAACATAAAAATTCATTGAGATATATTTTCATTATAAGTTGGATTACTTGTTTAATACATGTACATACTTGTTTATGTAATTTGATATTTTTTTGGTGTAATTATACTGCAAACTTTTAATTGAAATGTTCAAAAATAGATGGTTACATTTAGTTCTAAATGTGTCTGATAATTATTTGGAATATTTTATTTCAAAAAATAAAATAATATGAAGGAAAAAAAATTTTTCAACTTTAGAATCATGGTAGATTTTAGCACTAGAAATATCAAGCGATTATTTTTCGTTCGTTTATTATTATTTTTTTTCTAGTATACAAAAAAGATAGGGTTTTAAAATTTTCTGACTTTAATTACTTATTAGAAGAACTTTATTAAAATAAAAAATGTAGTTTACGAAAAGTTAGAAAATTCTAAAATTGTATCTCTGACAAGAGAAAAGAGATTAATTTAAAAAATAAAAATGGTCAGGAATAATCGCGTGATAAGATATACCTAGTAGTTATATTTAGTAGTAAAATATCTAGTAATAAGTATCTTTTTTCCTCTTTTTTTTTATTTTTACATAATTATTTTATACGTGTCAGAGAAATATTTATCTTGTTATATTTTAGGTTGATAATTTAGTCAAATTAGGCGTGACCTCCGTAATTAACGTGATTATTCGGCTCGTGGGTGGGTGTGTAATCGTACCGGTCATCCGCAACGATCCGCCAGGTCAAGTAGATTAATTGGTGCGCACGACGGGATCTTAAAGGGCCCATGATGGAATCATCCGGTGGAACGTTATATAAAGTTGTTTATTTCGAAAAAGACATGAAGCATATTTTTGATCACACTTTCTATATTTTTCTTCCGCATTTCTTTCGTTTCTAGCCTCGTTAAGCAAACGAGACATGCGCATAATTATTGTTTGATTATCGGTGGTATTATCGGTCGTTGGACGAGCAAAAAGGCATTAGATATGTCAAGGAGAAATAAATTTTTATAAGCGTCGCGATGCAAAGATAGTTAAAAAAAAATACTAACTTTCTTAAAAATATCAATAAGTGTTTATTTATAAGACAATATGGAGAAATAAGTGATGTTATAATAAATGGAAAATATCATCAAAATGAGGATTCGAATACCCATAAAATATATTCCAAGTCATATTTTATTACAAATTTTGTAATAAACTTTATTTTCTATATATGTTATATGAATGTACACATATTACAGTTTCAATGAGAGAAGTATATATTTGCATGAATAAATACCTAAAAAAGTACACAAGGAAATATAATAAGGAAATATTGCCCTTCGTTAAAGAAAGACAAGATTATTTCCTGCAAAGAGAGAAACTCTTGTACGGAAATGTGACTAACAATATATAAGGAGACATCTAATTGTGAAGTTTTGACATACGAAATTTTTACAATGCTCGATATATATTGTTAGCTATAATGTGAGTCGATGGAATGAAACAGAAATGAAACGTAAATATCATCGCCAAATATCATCGACGATGTTATCTTGTAATATTTTTCTTCCTATTGGAATTCATCCTTAGCGTAATGGAGAAAACTTAATATTAAGTCCAATAAGTACGCTGCACCTTCTAAAACGCACAATGAACCCACGGCCAAGCCGATCTGAAATCATTGAAATTTTTTTGATTCAATACAATAAAATTAAGTACTAATTTTAGTGTGAAAATTAAAATGAGATATTTTTTATTTTATAAAATTGACTGATTATGTTTTTTTGAACAGTTATGGAAAGAATCGCATTGTTATTATTTGAAAACTTATGTCTGTGTGTAATGTTTCATTGTTTAATGATTTTTTTTACAATTTTATCTTAAAAAAAAACAGGGATTCGACTTACCTGCCTCTCCGGTGCGTCGTACACGAATTTCTGCTCAGGTTGGTAACCGTGCCAGTAATGCAGAGCTGTTGCACCCACAGCCACAAACATAAATGTCCCCACGAAATTCATGATGATTTCCTTTAAAAAAAGATATATGTGTTTTTTTTTTTAATTTAAGTTGTCTCAAGATTTTTGTAACTTAACAATGTCTTTTGGAGAAATGAAAAAAAATGTGCGTTTAATGTTTAGAAGATTATAGAAAAGACGATCTGATATTTTATTAAAAGTGCCACTTAAATCTAAATATTCAATATTGAATATTGAAATATTGAAATATTGAAATATTGAATATTGTGAAATATGACTTGATATTATTCGATTTCACTGCATTTAATATATGAATTATTCAATCCGCGCGCGCACGTATTTATCGCATTTTATCAAATAAAAAAAAGATACTTACAACGAGAGTCTTTTTATGTTCGGTATTTCCAAAACAGTAGCTGACGAGGATGACGCTCGTGTAGATGAAGAATCCGACAAAAACTCCAGAAGCGACAATCTCGGCGTCAGGATTCTTGTCCTCGTTCAGGTTCCATGTTCCACCCACGCCTAAAAACTCACCGCCGTATCCTGTACGGTACAGGATCAATATAATGAGATTGATCACCTGCGGCAAATTGACAAATCCTAAGAATGTACATCTAGTATGGTCAAATTTGTTGTAAACAAACTTCGCAAAGTGTATGTTAATTTTATTGGCTGGCAGAAATGCAATAGAATTAGCGAGGATATGTTTAACTACAGCAAAATCGAGCAAAATTTTTTTATTTCGTGAATGATCCGTACAATACAATGTATCTAAAATTGGGATACAAGATGTTTTCTAGACTAACTTTAACATGTTTTACACCTCGATTTTAAACATTGTGTTGTCTAGAAATGAAATATGTTATCACGAAATGATATGCTTTTACTCAATTTTTGCTGCTAGTAGTACACTACTTGCATGTTGCTTATTAGGTATCGAAGTACAGACTGCCTCAAGAACTTAATGAAGTGATATTAAAATTCGAGAAAATTTTGTTCTGATTGTATTCTTTTTAATAAAAACAGAAATAAAAGAGAAAAGTTTAGGGAAATTAAATTTTGAAAAGACAAACGGGCAAATTAAACTTTCTTATGAAACTTCTATGACAGAAGTTTTAAGATAAATTAAATTTTTTTACAAAAGAAAAACTCACTTTTCTTGAAATAAATATTATATATTTGTATGTAATAAATATTTTATATATTTTATATATAAATTTATATATATAAATTTATTATATATAATAAATATTTTATATTTGTCTGTAAATAAAAGTTCTTTAATTGAAAACTATTTAATATTATTGAAATATTACAAAAAATTAACTTGATGGAGAACAATCTCGAAATATGATAGAGTGTCATCTTATTATCGTTATAGAGGTCTTTTCTGAGACGCTATAATTCTCAACTATGAAGCAACGGCATCGTAGCGTATCGCTTACTAAACAGCGTACGTTATCGCGAGCCGATAAGGGCAGTAGAAGTGATTCATACGTCTCGTAAGAATGTCCCTTAAATAAGTATACTTTTTATAATGATTTTTCAGTCCGCGCCTTTTCATCATTCTCCGAAAATGAATTCATTGACCATAAGGTCGCATTAGCTTTGACAGTTTATTAATCAGTAGTGTAACAGTTAACATTAATTATAACACGTGTTAGATTGAAAATAGTTTTCTATATATCAAAGTTTTATTACGTAACTAGTATTTTAGTTAGTTTAGTTTATTTTAATATCAAGCTATTATTTTTTAGGTATACACACACACACACACACACACACACACACACACACACGAGAAAAAAAACAAATATTTGCTCTTTTGTTTGTGTACAACTAGAGGAAAGTTGTATACAAAATTTGTTGATCGTTCAACATGATCAATTTTTTTTCTTTTGGCGAATATAGAAATTAATTAAATTTAATTCGACCGAAAATAATTTGAAGAATACCTGCGAATCTCGAGATAAAATAAGCAGTAATTTAAAATTAAGTAAAAATATAATATATCTTTATTTATAAATTCATTACTGAAAATTCCTAGATTTTTAATCGTTTAGAGTTCAGCATGTTGCCTTCATTCCAAATCATTCCAATTTCACGAATTGATCGAAGGAGATAATATCATTATGGGATACTGTTTTGGAAAATCCTTTTCTTTCTCTTTCTTTCTTTCTGACATACACTTTTCACGAATAATTTACGAGATGCAAATTAAAATACAATCTTCTCACCAACTTTAGCACTTTGATCACTATACTCCCAATAGTCTGCAGGGACACCATGTTCGCAGTGCTTTTCGGCACTTGCCTTTCACTGGGAAAATGTGCGTAACAAAATGAAGTCTGCGTCAGGTTTTCGATGATATTGAAGCAGAACCAAGCCCTCTTTATCTAATCAGATGATACAGAGAATACATTGAAATGGGGATGATAAGAACCGCAGAGGATAACCGCACATGCGCGATTTTTATCTAAGCGATAATTTAAATTGGTCCCATCGTTATTGTTCAATTGTACTTTTTTAAATTTCTAAAAAATATATCACAATGATTCTCGAAATTGTATAAATTAAAAAAAATTGAATTAGATGGCTAATAAGAATCGATGCTGTTAATAGTGCGTAATTATTTTTAAAAAAGCTTATTTCCTTTAAGCAAATTATTATTTTATTTGTGGACAAGAATTTGTGAGCAGAATTCGAATGTCTCATTTTGCTCATCTTCAGCGAAACAAAAGAAATAATGTGTTATAAAAATATAGAGTAGTATACAAATGTAACAATCAAATTTTTTGTGCTCGTAGGGTGATGAAGAAGCCGATGTTACAAAATCTTGTCAAACATTGGAGATCACACATGAGTCAAGAAATAAAGAGCAAAGTAAAATGACGGGGAAAGTTAGAAATCAAAATAGAATTCATCGGCGGCCACAAACAGGGACAACTAAATAAAGCGTTTGATAAATATTTATAATTTGTTTATAATAGCCGCAATAGGCGTTGTTGCAAATATTCGGTCTCTTTGCAAGTTAAGACTGTTTTCTTGTTTTTTAATAAACATTTCAGAGATGAATCTCTTCCCCAAAAAACGCTCCTTATTGAAAACATCTTAACATCCTTTCAGTTGAAATTACGAATGAACTGCAACCTATGATCGATGATAACAGATAGGATAGTAGTATTTCTATTAATCTATGATTTCGATGTTCTGAAATCCTTATTTTTGGCTGTTTGTCTCACATGAGTTGCGTTACAATTATTACAGGATATTTTGTAAATATCATTTTTATTTTGTAACGTTGAAAGGGAATCTTCACTTGGACTTTGACTAATCTTTCGAGTTTGTTTAAGCTGAAGAAAGAGATCTTTGCGTTCAAATCGGTGATGGCCTTTTTTATTTTATTCGCAATCTTTGTAATGAAGGGATGGTAAACTAAGGAATATTTCCAAAATCTCTCTCAAAAACTATATTATTTTTTCTTTAAGGATCTTGTTAAAATTGAACATCAAAAATTTTTTCAAACGTAATTTAATTGAATCAAAAAAAAAAAAACTAACAGAACTCAAAGGATAATCATTGTCTCTTAAAATGTTGATAAAATGTTAAAATGTTGTCGAGGTCTTTCTGACGGTGTTTCGAGTGCGATAGTAGCAACGTTCGATTAATCATATGCGATGATCATCCCCCATTTTTTGAGAAAGAGGGTGCTGAGATAGATAATTCAAATATCTTTCCGAGAAGTAGATTTTTGATATCAATCCATTTCTGTGACACTGTCATTAATTTTAAGATATATATCCAAGAAGTTAAGAGATTTTCCTTTCTCTTTAAGGGTAAATTGTAAGCTCGGATTTTCTGGGAAGAGAAATGTTAAGGATGTTAAGGATCATATTAGCAGTAGGAATCGTCATGGTAATGTCGTCTACATTGCCATCTATTTGAATGGCATTGGTACCCCACACTTCTCAATAAATTCTTGTAATTTATTTCTATATACATATAAAATTTGATTATTATGTTTGTATACCGCTCTATATTTTTATAACACCAATTATATTATTTCTTTGTTTCGCTGAAGATGAAAACGTGCCGAAATGTTCAAATTATGTTGACGAATGAAATATGCTTAAATTTGCTTGAAATAAACAAACTCTTAAAAATAATTACTATCAACTATCAACAGCGTTGACTCTTATTAGCCATAATAATTCAATTTTTTCCAATTTGTATTTTTTTTTTTTTATTTTATTTTAACCGCAATAGCAGTGCGAATTTTAAGATTGGTATCAGAAAAATGTTTGTTAATAATTTTTCAGGAGCTCGGCTTAGCGATTAAGCCAGAACAGATCGCTGAAATGGAAGCTCATGTGGACGATATCGACTTCGAGGCTGCTGCCAAAGAAGAAAAAGCGACGAGGCACGATGTGATGGCGCATGTTCATGTTTTAGTGAACAATGTCCCCTAGCTGCGCCTATTATCCATCTTGGTGCTACCAGTTGCTACGTGGGCGATAATACAGTATGTCTTTCATTTTATTCTACTATCTTAAAAATATTTTTTTTTATTTATCTTTAGCATGAGATATAATTAAACTTTTAATTACTAAGATAAGCGATTGTTACCGTTACATCTCTGTATACACTTTGACTTAAATAAATTACTCGGAGTAATTTAATATATTTATATATTATCTTTTTTTTTTTTTTATAGGATCTCTTAGTGCTCCGTCAAGGTTTCGACATGTTGCTTTCAAAATTAGCCAGCGTAATCCAGCGTCTCGCAAAATTCGCTCGTGAAAATCGCAGTCTGCCCACTTTGGGCTTTACTCACCTTCAACCCGCGCAATTAACGACAGTCGGCAAAAGGGCAACGCTCTGGTTACAGGACTTGCTGATGGACGAGAGAGCTATCCGTCGCGCCAGGAATGATTTGAGATTCCGCGGGGTTAAAGGCACTACCGGCACTCAAGCGTCTTTTCTTCAACTCTTTAATGGTCGGCTTATTTAATCTTTTGATTTGCAATTCTTGGATAATTGCTATTTATTTTATTTTATCAGAAAAACATATGTAAAATAACTAATACATAATGTTGATATTTTTAATGTGATTTTAAGTAAAAAGGAGGATCCATAAATAATTGTAGAATTTTTATTTTGATTTTGAAATTTGAGAAACAGAGATAAGACAATTACGATGGTTAAACTAAAAATTGAAAGAAGTAAACGGTCAGAGTGCACAGGTAGCATTTTTAATTTTCAAATTCAGATTTTTATAATAATTGTTGAACTATCAACAGGCAATAAAGAGAAGGTAAAGCAATTGGACGCTCTCGTGACTAAAATGGCTGGTTTCGAGAAATATTACACTGTCACCGGACAGACCTACAGCAGAAAAGTTGACATTGAATGTTTGAACGTTTTGAGTTCACTCGGTGCAACTGTTCACAAGGTGAGCCCCTTGAAATGATGCAGTTGTATCCATATTAGTTATGTAACCATATGACTTGAGAGATTGATCATCCATCTTGTCTTCCTTTATGAAGTCATTGCAAAATCTTGAATCTTGAT